CTATAAGTAACCAGTTAGATTTTTTCTAAACCTCTTAGATAAAAAGTTATAGCCATTTAAAAAATTGAAACACTTTGTGTAATTGTTGAGTATAGACTTTCAGCATCTCATATATAGAAAATACCTCTATATTAGTCACATCTCTTTATAATCACGATTTTTTGTATCTCAAAGGTAGACTATAGAAGGGTTTGACTATATTATATAATTTTAATTTATTATTTGTTTTAAATAAGACTAAATAGTATTCTATACACCATATATTATTTTTTAATATCTGAAAATTTTATTATTTTTACTCTATTATATAACTAATACAGTCTGGTATTTTTCAAATTTGGTATATACAAATTATTTTTTAGCCAAAAATCTTTAAATAAATATTTTTTAAAGTTGAATTTGTATTAATTATTTTGACTTGAACCATTACCTTTTTAGTGAGGTTTGGGAGCTTATCCAATAAGCTACTAGACCCAAACCCCATAATATTTTATTTCATTAAATTATATTTAAGATTTTAATTAAAATATATGAATTATATAAAAATAAGCCTATAAAAGTATTATAGTTATTATTAAGTATACAAATTACTATTATTATTTAAAATTACAAGTTTTTACAAGTTTTTTTTTAATTTTTAAAAAAATAATTTATTATACAGGATGATGATCAAGTAACAATAAACAAACAAATCTTTTATTAAGAATTTTTTTTAAGATTTTTTTAAAGATCATTGATTAATAATTAAATATATCAATAACAATCTAAAAAAGATAAAATAAAAAATAAAAAATTACTATCTAAAGGCCCAAGCAAATACAGTTCAAAAAATCTATAAAAATAATTAAAGGCATTGTTCTAATAAAAGATTATATTGTTATTTTATTTTATTTTATTTTTTTTTTTTTTTTTTAAATCTTCAAAGATGAGGCCATGCCTCTATCAATATTGTTATTTTATGACATACAAAAAAAAACTTTTTTAATAACAATATTCATGTATATGTCGTAGGTAGGAACAGAATTTAAGTAGATTCGGAATTTTTAAGGTTAGGGTTGGGATTTTTAGTATAATTATTCTGTTCTAATCTAAGTGGATCCAAACTCTATTATGAACCCATTCCCACTTACAACATATATATCTAGTAAATGTAGAAAAACAATTTCCTTTTGAATATTACGAGGAAATTGTTTTGATTAGCATATGCATGGACATAACACAAATTACTGCAAGTAGCAAAAATTACTAACCGCAAGTAGCAAAGATTATTACACTACATAAACATGCATGACAAAACCAGTACACAGCATACCGTATTTGGTAAAAAAGGAACGGACGAAATTGATACCGTATTTGGTAAAAAAAAACAGACGAAATTGAATGCTCTTAATTAACTACCATTTAGATTCTCTCATATAATTCGCGTTACGAACCACAGAAGTACGTACGTACGTACGTACATATGCACTAATATTTTGAAACCTTCAAAGAAATATTCTAAATTGCAATGTGGTGTAACCATTATATGGTAATTCATTTAAAGATTGACTAAGTTGTAAACCAATATTGTAATTATTTCTTTAACAAATCGAAAAGTCACAACTGTCTCTCATTAATCTTTATATCTAAATTTTCTGTTCTCCTTAAATAACTAAACTGATTATGGATAGTATGTTTACAGCATTAAAATCAGTATAATTAGTGCATCGTAAATCTTGAAAAATCTTTTAGCAATAATTGCATTATGATATTAATGTTTTCTCTGTCGGTATATTTATAAATTGCAGACCAAACTATTAAAAATGATTTTATGCCAGACCTTGGCTATGAAATTGTGGATTTCCAATACGATACGTGGCAAATCAGAAATTGGACAAATTTAAAAGAGATGATAGCAGGCCCCGAATTTGAAGCTGGAGGTTGGAAATGGTAAGTTCACTTAAATATGCAATTTGAATATAACTTCATACTCTAATTATATGATATTTAAAATTTAGGCGCATTTTGCTTTTCCCTTATGGAAACTATAATTCAAATGTTGTTTCAATTTATTTGGAAATTGATGATCCAAAAGGAGCACCTGTCGGTTGGCATTGCTGTGCACAATTTGCTTTGGCATTATGGAACCCAGAAGACCGAACATCCTATGTTGGTAAAAGTACGTATTAAATTATTTATTATTTGATAATCCATGCTACTAATATCCTAATTTTTAATTATAGGTGGGCATCATCGTTTCACTGCTGAAGAACCATATAGTGGAGTTACGCGGTTTTGCGAACAAAATAAGCTGTTTGTCCCATCAGATAATCGTCTTCGTCCGTTAATAGAAAATGATACCTGTAATATTACAGCCTTTGTTCGCATTATAAAGGACCCAACTGGTGTCTTATGGCATAACTTTAAAAAGTATTC